AACAATCCTAAAAATGTTCACATGATTCCCTATGATTGCGTCTGAAATTATTGTGTAGTATTTGCGTAAATATCAGAAATCATTTTTGCCGAATTACCAGAATTTATTTTCTGCCGTCAAAAAATTTACAGCGAAACATATTTAATATCATACCACGGCTCAAACAACAGCTTCATATATCATTACTTATTAAACATGTATTTAATATACGTCGATTCTTATTGAATAAACTTATAAAGCGCTATGAATTTCACTTAGAAATAATATACAGAAAAATGAAAATTACACCTATCATTTTTCTTTATATGTCTGTAATCATATCGTTCATTTCCATGTAGAAGTACAGGACGATACTTACGCAATATTGCCAGGTAATTACTATTGTATTGTACACTAGCTGATCTCTGCGACTTCGCTCGCCTGGAATTTATTATTTATCTAAAATAAAAGTAGCCTCAGTTATCTGCCAGCGAAAGTCCCGTCAAAATCGATCCAGACGTTTTGGAGATTAGCTGGAACAAACACACAGACAGACAAATATTTTAAAAATTGTGTGTTTTATTATAATATTATAGTGCCGTATACACATTATAGTGTTATTTTGACATTACCAACAGACACTTCAGTTTTATTTATTTTTATAAATTACATCGAATCATAAACTTAGGATAGTAATAGACGAACATAGTGTGCAAGTAAGAAGAAACTTCCCTATGGCAAAATAGAAAAATAGAAAAGGATAGCAAATCTAATGACTTTGTAACAGATTTTGAATGACAGGCCGGCAAAATTCGGCACGGCAGAAATAAGCTCCTAGATATTTTGTAATTTTTTAGATTATTATAGTGTTAATTTTTGTATTTCATAACTTTCAAAAATTGGTACATAATCCGTGAGTGACCATAGTGCTTATAATAGAAATAATCCTGATAATTGCACATTTCACAGGTAAATTCATAAAACGTCGTCAATAAGACGCGTCTATTTTTATTTATTTATTTATTAGTTTACCACTTACAACTATCATCACAAGTGTATTACCTAATACAGTAGTGTAATACGAACTTAGAAACTAGAACAAACATAATATAGGCTCAGATGAAGTACGAAAAATTTACTTTATCTGAGAATATAGGTATGTTATGCACAACTTAAAGATATTTTATAATAAAAGGCTTTTGTGAATTAATTCAGAGTGCAGTTGAACAAATCAGTCTGTTGCGAGACCTCGTTAAAAGCACGCAGCGCGCGTCAAAGGCGAAAATTTATGTAATACATATATTGTTTAAAATATAAAATGTTTTTGTAAAATATTTTCAATTATTTTGTTAATTTTAATATTTTGCAAACCAAAAAGTCACGTTGTTGATAATTTTCATGAATTTGATAAATATATTTTTATACAAAATATTTTACATGTATGCTAGGGATTGACTTAGCTATATCAAAATTAATGTCGATATTTAATAATTTTATATTTTTAATATTTATATTTTATATATTAAATTATATAAATATTATTCATCTTGAATGTGTATAATGAATTGATACTTATTATTGAAAATAATCGGGCGATGCGGGCGGTATCGAGGAGCACTGCCTTCTGCATTTGAGCTCGGAGCGGTCCGTCACGGAGTCCCAGTCGCCTCAGATGACCCGAGAGGCTGACTGGGATTAGCCCATTCGCAGAGACGACTACAGGAATTAATTTTCGGCCGGCAGACTCACCCCACATGTCGGTTACCTCACCGTGAGCCATGGTCCAGATATTTTGTTCGTTTATCTGTTTCAGCTTTCACGAGGTTCTCGTCATACGGAATGGTAATGTCGATCAAGATATCCTTGACTGTTCCCGGTCCATCAGCACAATATCAGGCTTATTCGCAAGAATTGATACTTATTGTTATTATTTACTTATATTTATTCCCACACTGAAAATAAATGTTCGGTTAGTGTTCTAAAATATAATTTTATTTTGCCCTTTGTCAAACAAATTTCCTCCGGATTCTATAATTAGAACAAAAAACTGGTTAAGTTTATTGGGCGAGTTGGTTGAAATACAAAGAACTCAAAAATTTGCAGCAAACATTTTCTTTAGTAATTATGAAAGAAAAAGTAGAATAAAACGTAATATGGAAAAAAAAGTAAATCATGAGACTGATTATGTCGAAGTTCAATAATTTTTTTGATATTCTAAGAGTTTAAATGTTAAAAGTTTAATTAAAAGTTGATTTTTGTTAAGTAAATATATATATGTATTTAATATTGTAATTTATATATATATATGGATATATATAAATTTAGATAGTCTCTGTATGTATATACATATATATATATATATATATATATATACATACATACATACATATATATATATATATATATATATTCCAGGGGTGAAGCCGCGGACAAAAGTTAGTATAAAATAATTTGTAATGTACGGCAAGTTACACAACACATGTAATTCGATATTTCACAAATACTACAAAATCGAATTTTATCGCTTTAAGTTGCAAAAAATGTTTCCTTGAGGAAAACGCGGGACTTAACCACATATAGGTTACTTTAGGCCGATAATTGCATTCAGATAACTATTGTCTAAGTGGTTTCTAAAATAGAATTAAATTATACGGTCATATCGGAAATTCGTTCTCGAAAGATTATGAAAACATACTATTTCTTTATCATAGACGCCGACGATTAAAACATTCGTTGGATTTTTCTTTATTTTTATTGTTAAACATATTGCAAAACCAAACAAAAGCATTAGTTTTATTAATTAGTGTTTCCTCGTGCTTTTCTTCACGTATTAGTGCGGTATAAAATAATATATCGAATGTAACATTGAGTTATACAAAACTATATAAATCAATGGGATGTAATGTGAGTGGGTAGCATGGCCTTGACAAGGCCTTCCTCCACTTCGCATTCGAGGTTTGCAATAACCAAAAGGATATACATGTGTTAAATTTGGTGTTATCGTATCACAAATAATAGTAACCCTTAGTGATATGTAACAAACGGTTAATTCGATCCACCATACAGGTGGACCAAATTTACAGGTACACTGGTAACAACTTTAAATAAATAAAGCGACATACTTTTCTTTGATTCTTACCTTCTAAACTGGAACATAGTGAACGAAAAACCTATAATATATAGATAGTCTCTGTATATATATACATATATGTATATATATGTATGTATATATATATATATATATATATATATATATATATATATATATATATATATATATATATATATATATATATATATATATATATATACTAGCTCGCCAGGCAGACATTGTTCTGCTCTTTTCGACGACCCTTTGTCATGTCCAAAGATGTTTTATAGGTACAGATATCGTGTTGCTAACACATCACACCGTTCACAGTCACACCAGTCTTTGATTCATGTGTGCGTGAGTACCACGTGACGCGCATATCTTACGTACCATGCCTGCATTAGTGTGCGTGACTTCGGTAATAATAGTGCGAATCGATTGCACAAAAATTTGGGAGATTTTATATTTCATTCATATTGACATACCTGAGCGTAAAATATGTGTGCGAGGCGTGTGCATTTGTGTACGTATGTGAATGGGGATATACACACACAAGGGATATGGGTGGTTATGTGTGTTTTATGTAGGTACGAAAATCGCACTAAAATAGTGAAGATAAGTAATAAAAACTAGATATAATTAATGTAACAGTTAAAAATAAATCAAAAATCACATTAGATATTTATGTATCTAACATATTTGAACTAATCTATTATTATTGAATATAATAATAATAATAATAATACTATTCAAGACCAGATCATAAACACAAAAAATTACAGAAAATATATAATCAAAGATCCTACAGTAAATAATGACAAATGTCGCAAATGCCACACTCATCCAGAAACCATTCAACACATCACAGGCGCATGCACAACTCTCACACAGACTGACTACACTCACAGACACAATCAGGTGGCCAATGTCATTCATCAAAAACTAGCACTCAAACACGCACTCATTCCAGATGCCAACACTCCGTACTACAATTATACACCAAAACATACTCTAGAAAACACCACACATAAACTTTTTTACGACCGCGGCATTCTCACCGATAGGACAATCCACTATAACCGACCAGATATAATTCTACAAGATAAAATAAATAATATTACTTACCCGATAGACATTGCAGTCCCCAACACACACAACTTGCAGAAGACGATAACTGAAAAAATTTGTAAGTACGCAGAACTTAAAGATGAAGTGACTAGAATCTGGCAACAAGAAAAAGTATATGTGGTCCCTATAGTCCTCTCCACAACAGGTGTCATCCCAAATCATCTCCTCCGTAGCTTAAAATTATTACAACTAAAAGAAACTCTATATATTACACTTCAAAAAGCAGCTATATTAAATACATGCAGAATAGTTAGGAAATTCACGCAGATAGAAGAAAACGAAATAGGACCTCATCAAATCACATGAACTACACTACACACCACACGCTGCATTTGCTTTGGCTTCGGCCCGTAAATGTAGTTGAAATCCAGCCTAGAGCTGAGAAGTGACAACACTTACCGTAAATAATAATAATAATAATAATAATCTTTTATCGTTACAGAGCAAAACCTGGCAGACCGAGTTCGGTATATCTTGCGCTCAAATATATTTGATGTCGCCGAACTCGAACGGCTACGACGTGAGGCTGTTCCCTCGTCGGATGAGAATGCTACGGCTGAGGATGTGGCGCTACAAATGGTAGAGCAACCCGCAAACGTGGATGCCGCCGTGAATACCCCAGTTGTGGTTGATTCAAACGATGATGGAACAGTCGCCCAGGAACTGGAATTAGAGCATATGAGGAGTACATTGGAAGAGGCGATTGTGGAAACGCGCAGTACGCCTCTCGAAAATCGACCGCGACTTCCCCCGCATAGCCCTAAGCAAGCGGAATCGGGCTGTCGTAAGGGCTCTGAACCCAATGCTGGTGACCTATTTGGAAGCCAGCCGGGACCTTTGCGAGACGGACTCAATTCTTTTTGGCGCCGCGCTGGCAGTCTGCCGTATCATAGGCGCCAAGGTTTCCACGGCTGGACGCGCTACTGGCCATAGTAGCGCTATCCCAGCATGGAGAAGAAGAATTGAGGAACGTATCGCAAAGGCTAGAGCTCTCATCGGCAGACTGATATGCTTCAGATCAGGCAACAACAGGCCAAGAATTGTGCGCACCGTCAGGATGGCGTTTGCTGGGTCAAATGTCAGTTTGTCCCAGCCGGATATAACGCAAAAACCGACGGAGCGCATAGATGATCTGAAGCAGAGAATCGCTGCTTGGGGAAAGCGGATTCGGCGATATACCGAGAGGTCGACACGGTTCAACCAGAATCGTCTCTTCCAGAGTGATCAGAAGAGGCTCTATGAATCATTGGAGCGACCAATGGTAAGTGGAACGGGTCCAGCACCGAATCAGGCCGACACTGTAGCATTCTGGCGCGGCCTGTGGTCAGAGCCCGTAAACCACAGCGAGGGCCCTTGGACGGAAGTTGTGGCGAGTCAGTGTGCGGGTATTACGCCCATGGACCCCGTCATCATAACGCCGGATGACGTAGCTGAGGCGGTCCGTAGGGCCCCGAACTGGAAAAGTCCGGGGCTTGACGGGCTGCATCACTACTGGCTGAAGGGGTTCATGGTGTGTCACTCTGTGCTCGCCCGACAGTTTCAAGAGGCTCTCAACCAGAAGTCGCTCCCAAGCCTCTTCACTACTGGGATCACTCATTTGGTTCCTAAAGACCAGGGTACCACAGACCCGAGCAAATACCGCCCCATCACGTGTCTACCGACCATATACAAGACACTAACATCCATTTTGAGCGCGAGAATCACTTGTCACCTGGACTCAAATCAGGTGATGTCGCGCGCTCAAAATGGATGTCGGGGCGGTGGTCGTGGAACCAAGGAACCACTCCTCATTGACGCGGTCATTGGCAAAGTGGTGAAACGCAACCGTCGGAACTTCTCCGCCGCCTGGATAGACTACAGAAAGGCATTCGACTCGGTGCCCCATACATGGCTAAAGAGAGTCCTCGAGCTGTACAAGATAGACTGTACAGTTAGAGACTTCCTCGAGCAGTGTATGGGGCAGTGGAGTACGATCCTTTGTCATCTGGGCGAGCGGATGATGGCTGCGGAGAACCACATAAGGATAAGAAGGGGTATCTTCCAGGGCGATTGTCTGAGTCCAATCTGGTTCTGCCTCTCTCTGAACCCTCTCAGTACCTTACTGGAGGGCTCCGGGAGGGGATTTCAGCTACGGAAAGGAGGGACAAAAGTGACCCACCTCTTCTATATGGATGACCTCAAGTTATTCGCCTCCAGTCGCTCCCATCTTATGGGATTGCTAAACATCACTTGTGAATTTAGCAATTCCATTGGAATGGAGCTTGGGACGGATAAGTGTGCGGTCCTCCATGTTGAAAGGGGAAGGGTTGCTAACTCTGAGGGCGTAGACCTATCTATGCCCGTCAACTTAAGGACCCTTTCCGAGGCTGAAACATACCGATACCTGGGTATGTCACAAAACATCGGTATCGATGAGACTGGTATGAAACAATCAGTTTGCGACGTGTTTTATGCACGCTTGACCAAAGTGCTTAACAGCCTTTTGTCCGGTGTGAATAAGGCACACGCATATAACGGCTGGGTCATGCCTGTCCTCATGTATACCTTTGGCATACTCAGGTGGACTCAGACTGAACTTAACGCCCTGGATAGAAAAGTCCGCACTACCATGACGTCCCATAGGATGCATCATCCGAGATCGTCGGTAATGAGGCTGTACTTGTCGCGGAAGCATGGTGGTCGTGGCTTCTTGAGCGCGCTCGCCATGCGTAATCGCGAAGTGTGCAGCCTCCGTGATTACTTCCTGGCGAGATCGGATGATCCATTCTATAAGGACGTCATTTCTTGTGATAAAGGACTTACCCCTCTATCCTTAGCCAACGAGCAATGGCAAGACCCGGCAGTGCAGAGCATTTCCGACCGAGAGACCGTATGGAAGGAGAAGGAGCTCCACGGGAGGTTCTACAAGGCTCTACATGAGCCTTTCGTAGACACAGTAGCCTCCCTCCACTGGCTACGCTTTGGTGATCTCTTCGGGGGAAACCGAGGGTTTTGTCTGTGCAATACAGGATCAGGTTATTAAGACCAACAACTATCGGAGATACATCCTAAAGGATGGCACCGTCGACATCTGTCGAGCTTGTCGCCATCCCGGTGAGTCACTTAGGCATGTTATCTCCGGTTGTTCGGCGCTTTCTAACTCTGAGTACTTGCACAGGCACAACCTAGTAGCCAGAATTCTACACCAGGAGCTCGCTCTGAAATACGGTCTCGTGGACCGGAAATTGCCGTACTACAAGTACTTGCCGGAAGCCGTGCTCGAAAATGATCGCGCCAGGCTCTATTGGGACCGGGCCATCATCACAGACAGGACTATTCTTGCGAATAAGCCTGATATTGTGCTGATGGACCGGGCACAGTCAAGGATATTTTTGGTCGACATTACCATTCCGTATGACGAGAACCTCGTGAAAGCCGAAACAGACAAGCAAACAAAATATCTGGACCTGGCTCACGAGGTGACCGACATGTGGGGTGGTCGGCCGACCGAAATTATTCCTGTAGTCGTCTCTGCAAACGGGCTAATCCCAGTCAGCCTCTCGGGTCATCTGAGGCGGCTGGGACTACGTGGCGGACCGCTCCAGGTTCAAATGCAGAAGGCGGTGCTCCTCGATACCGCCCGCATCGTCCGCCGGTTTCTTTCCCTTTCCCCCTAACCCTCGGCCGTTTGGTCTCCCCTGCCGAGGGCCTCCATCTGGTTGGGCTTTTATTTATTTATGTACTTTTATATTTATTTTATGTTATTGATATTTATGTATATTTATATTTCCATTTTCATTTATAATTATATATTTATAGAACCCAACCAGATGAGAAAACTATAAAGATACCCCATAATAATAATAATATTGACTTGAGCCCATGAGATTGTCGCTATGTGGGTCGTTGATTCTACTATTATTGTACCAGTAGTTGTATCAGTCAATGGACTTATTGGTAAAAATATGGACGATTATCTGTCCAAGTTAGGTTTGGGCAAATGGCTGAAAGCATTAATTCAAAAATCGGCCTTATTAAATACGGCTCGAATAGTAAGAAGGTTCCTATCTTTGGATGCCTAAATTCACCGATGGCTTAGAATTCCTCGCCGCGGTGGATAATAGCCGAAATAATAATATTATTTATATAGATTGTATTTATATTTGTAATATTATAGTTTTGTGATTATATATGTGATCATATAATAATAATAATAATAATCTATTATTATTGAATATAAATAGGCGTAGGGAAGTGACGACCCCATCGCCCGCTGACGTAACGGTTATGTGACAAAACCGCTACGTCAGCGCAGTCAGTCAGCACCTTGCCAAGAGGTGTTAGTGCCGTGCCTCGGCAAAAATTGAAGGTGCAAAGGCCCGCTTGTGCACATGGCCTCAACATGAAACGGCGCCGGGTCTGGGCGTCTCCCGCTAAATGACGCCCTAAAAATGGATGATGGAATTAAATAGAACGCGCAAAGGGCCGCTGCCTGTAGGTCGCCAGGGCGCGTCTGGAGCTGGCGCTGGACGCGGCAGCATGCGAACCGCCAGCCGAGCGCGAGGTGCTGCACGACCACCCAGCAGCCCCTCGCATCCATCATCCCCACCAGCTGGCTTGGTGTCGGCAGGGTCTTCGCGGGCCCAGCAATCGGCACCCGCCTCTGGTGGAGTACGCCGCATGCGTTGGACAACCCAGATGAACAGCAACGCATTGCGGGCGTATTTTAGGGCGAAAGGGGGAGAAACTGGATGTTTGGCGTATCGGGCTAGGATGCATCGTCTTTTTGCTGAGCTGGAGCCATCTTTAACCGTTGCAGAGCAAAACCTGGCAGACCGAGTTCGGTATATCTTGCGCTCAAATATATTTGATGTCGCCGAACTCGAACGGCTACGACGTGAGGCTGTTCCCTCGTCGGATGAGAATGCTACGGCTGAGGATACGGCGCCACAAATGGTAGAGCAACCCGCAAACGTGGATGCCGCCGTGAATACCCCAGTTGTGGTTGATTCAAACGATGATGGAACAGTCGCCCAGGAACTGGAATTAGAGCATATGAGGAGTACATTGGAAGAGGCGATTGTGGAAACGCGCTGTACGCCTCTCGAAAATCGACCGCGTCTTCCCCGCATAGCCCTAAGCAAGCGGAATCGGGCTGTCGTGAGGGCTCTGAACCCAATGCTGGTGACATATTTGGAAGCCAGCCGGGACCTTTGCGAGACGGACTCAATTCTTTTTGGCGCCGCGCTGGCAGTCTGCCGTATCATAGGCGCCAAGGTTTCCACGGCTGGACGCGCTACTGGCCATAGTAGCGCTATCCCAGCATGGAGAAGAAGAATTGAGGAACGTATCGCAAAGGCTAGAGCTCTCATCGGCAGACTGATATGCTTCAGATCAGGCAACAACAGGCCAAGAATTGTGCGCACCGTCAGGATGGCGTTTGCTGGGACAAATGTCGGTTTGTCCCAGCCGGATATAACGCAAAACTGACGGAGCGCATAGATGATCTGAAGCAGAGAATCGCTGCTTGGGGAAAGCGGATTCGGCGATATACCGAGAGGTCGACACGGTTCAACCAGAATCGTCTCTTCCAGAGTGATCAGAAGAGGCTCTATGAATCATTGGAGCGACGAATGGTAAGTGAAACGGGTCCAGCACCGAATCAGGCCGACACTGTAGCATTCTGGCGCGGCCTGTGGTCAGAGCCCGTAAACCACAGCGAGGGCCCTTGGACGGAAGTTGTGGCGAGTCAGTGTGCGGGTATTACGCCCATGGACCCCGTCATCATAACGCCGGATGACGTAGCTGAGGCGGTCCGTAGGGCCCCGAACTGGAAAAGTCCGGGGCTTGACGGGCTGCATCACTACTGGCTGAAGGGGTTCATGGTGTGTCACTCTGTGCTCGCCCGACAGTTTCAAGAGGCTCTCAACCAGAAGTCGCTCCCAAGCCTCTTCACTACTGGGATCACTCATTTGGTTCCTAAAGACCAGGGTACCACAGACCCGAGCAAATACCGCCCCATCACGTGTCTACCGACCATATACAAGACACTAACATCCATTTTGAGCGCGAGAATCACTTGTCACCTGGACTCAAATCAGGTGATGTCGCGCGCTCAAAATGGATGTCGGGGCGGTGGTCGTGGAACCAAGGAACCAACTCCTCATTAACGCGGTCATTAGCAAAGTGGTGAAACGCAACCGTCGGAACTTCTCCGCCGCCTGGATAGACTACAGAAAGGCATTCGACTCGGTGCCCCATACATGGCTAAAGAGAGTCCTCGAGCTGTACAAGATAGACTGTACAGTTAGAGACTTCCTCGAGCAGTGTATGGGGCAGTGGAGTACGATCCTTTGTCATCTGGGCGAGCGGATGATGGCTGCGGAGAACCACATAAGGATAAGAAGGGGTATCTTCCAGGGCGATTGTCTGAGTCCAATCTGGTTCTGCCTCTCTCTGAACCCTCTCAGTACCTTACTGGAGGGCTCCGGGAGGGGATTTCAGCTACGGAAAGGAGGGACAAAAGTGACCCACCTTTTCTATGGATGACCTCAAGTTATTCGCCTCCAGTCGCTCCCATCTTATGGAATTGCTAAACATCACTTGTGAATTTAGCAATTCCATTGGAATGGAGCTTGGGACGGATAAGTGTGCGGTCCTCCATGTTGAAAGGGGAAGGGTTGCTAACTCTGAGGGCGTAGACTTATCTATGCCCGTCAACTTAAGGACCCTTTCCGAGGTTGAAACATACCGATACCTGGGTATGTCACAACACATCGGTATCGATGAGACTGGTATGAAACAGTCAGTTTGCGACGTGTTTTATTCACGCTTGACCAAAGTGCTTAACAGCCTTTTGTCCGGTGTGAATAGGGCACACGCATATAACGGCTGGGTCATGCCTGTCCTCATGTATACCTTTGGCATACATCAGGTGGACTCAGACTGAACTTAACGCCCTGGATAAAAAAGTCCGCACTACCATGACGTCCCATAGGATGCATCATCCGAGATCGTCGGTAATGAGGCTGTACTTGTCGCGGAAGCATGGTGGTCGTGGCTTCTTGAGCGCGCTCACCATGCATAATCGCGAAGTGTGCAGCCTCCGTGATTACTTCCTGGCGAGATCGGATGATCCATTCTATAAGGACGTCATTTCTTGTGATAAAGGACTTACCCCTCTATCCTTAGCCAACGAGCAATGGCATGACCCGGCAGTGCAGAGCATTTCCGACCGGGAGACCGTATGGAAGGAGAAGGAGCTCCACGGGAGGTTCTACAAGGCTCTACATGAGCCTTTCGTAGATACAGTAGCCTCCCTCCACTGGCTACGCTTTGGTGATCTCTTCGGGAAAACCGAGAGTTTTGTCTGTGCAATACAGGATCAGGTTATTAAGACCAACAACTATCGAAGATACATCCTAAAGGATGGCACCGTCGACATCTGTCGAGCTTGTCGCCATCCCGGTGAGTCACTTAGGCATGTTATCTCCGGTCGTTCGGCGCTTTCTAACTCTGAGTACTTGCACAGGCACAACCTAGTAGGCAGAATTCTACACCAGGAGCTCGCTCTGAAATACGGTCTCGTGGATCGGAAATTGCCGTATTACAAGTAAGAAAATGATCGCGCCAGGCTCTATTGGGACCGGGCCATCATCACAGACAGGACTATTCTTGCGAATAAGCCTGATATTGTGCTGATGGACCGGGCACAGTCAAGGATATTTTTGGTCGACATTACCATTCCGTATGACGAGAACCTCCTCGTGAAAGCCGAAACAGACAAGCAAACCAAATGTCTGGACCTGGCTCACGAGGTGACCGACATGTGGGGTGGTCTGCCGACCGAAATTATTCCTGTAGTCGTCTCTGCAAACGGGCTAATCCCAGTCAGCCTCTCGGGTCATCTGAGGCGGCTGGGACTACGTGGCGGACCGCTCCAGGTTCAAATGCAGAAGGCAGTGCTCCTCGATACCGCCCGCATCGTCCGCCGGTTTCTTTCCCTTTCCCCCTAACCCTCGGCCGTTTGGTCTCCCCTGCCGAGGGCCTCCATCTGGTTGGGCTTTTATTTATTTATGTACTTTTATATTTATTTTATGTTATTGATGTTTATGTATATTTATCTTTTCATTTTCATTTATAATTATATATTTATAGAACCCAACCAGATGAGAAAACTAATATATAGAACGCCAAAATAATAATAATAATAACCCCCCGGGGACCACCTTGACGTGGCGGGGGGGCTTAAGGGAGGCATGAACCTAACAGCGGTCACTACGAACTTGACCATACCCTGTATAATTACCGATACAGGAGGTACATTTTATTAACCACTAACACCTTTGCTATTGGTATATTGGGCGGTCACAAAATCGTAATACTATGGTTCGGGTCCAGCCCGACCGACCCACTTCTTTTAATTTTTTTTTCAAGTTCCTTTCTTTTTTGAGAAAATCTATTTTTTCGAGCCATTTTTTTTAGTATTTTTTAAACACGAAAATTTAAATTAAACTAATTGCACTCATGATTTTTATTCAAATAACCAGTTCAGTTTTTTCTATTATGTCGCTAAGGTCAAAAAATATTATTCGTATTTCATCAGTATGTAATTTGTATCTAAATATAATTTCCAAAACACACGAATTAAAAAAAAACCGAGCGAAAAATACCGAGCAAAGCTCGGTCAACCGGGTACTGAATTTAGTAAAAAGCTGTTATTTTAACATTACAAAAGGTCACTTCAATTTTATTTATTTGTAGAAATTACATCTAATTAAATCTAATATGTGTCTTTATAGTGCACCAAAACAAAACATGGGCGAAGAAGAAGGAAAATAAATAAGTGTTACTATCTTCATCTAGGATAGGAAATGCATAAAATTGAGTGGTTTGTTGATGCAAAATAGAATATTTATAAATATATATTATAAAATTGAGGAATTAAAATACGAATACAAGTATACAAATGTCACTAACTAAAGATTAAGATAATGATTGTGTACAAGCTTCTGAAAAGCAGACAAAGGCTGTACGCGTCTCGCTGACAGAGGTAGGAAACTCGTTATACGGACTGAATGATTAGTAACTACATCTGTCAAAATATTTAATATTGCTACCTCCGTAACGACTAATACAAGGTCATATTCATAAACTTATTGTATTGTCATCCGTTCTATAAGTATAAATACGTTTGCGAAATTTCCGATTATTCAGACGTCTGGAGGTGTGTGAAAATTGGATCACAAAGTTCCATAACTTTCATACATACCTACATGGTCACGTTAACATAGTCAAATCTGAAAAAATTCTGTGGTCTATTTTTAAATCATGTCAGTTTTAGGGTTCCATACCCAAAAGGTAATCAACGGGACCCTATTACTAAGCCTCCTGTGTCCGTCCTTCTGTCTATCTGTCAGCGGGCTGTATCTCATGATCCGTTACAGGTAGACAGTTAAAATTTTCACAGAATGTGTATTTCTGTTGGCGCTATAAAAAATAAATAAAAAATTAAAGAGGGCTCCCATACTAGAAACGTGTTTTGCGATGTTACGGAACCCTTCATGTGCGAGTTCGACTCACACCTGGCACCTGGCACCATTACAGCCTATAAAAGTCCGCTTCTGAACATAGGCCATAGATTGCTTCATAGAACAGGAATATGTTATAGTCACTATGCTTTGCAAGTCTATTAGAGACCGCAGTTTATTATTATTTTGCGTTGTTAAAAGAAAGACGCCGTTGTTCATCTCTTGTTTCGGTTTCCCTCTGTCGCTTCTTACGGCTCTCACCCGGCTATGATTTTTTATGATTTCCACCAAATAGGACGCTGTATGTGGCCGTATATTGTGCGATATTTAAAAATATTAAAGTATCTACAGATTATATACAATATGTAACGTAATTAACGCACACCACCAGACACCCCAATTAGTTTATTATGTTATAATCATAATACATACTGAATTTTTAGTTAAACATTTTTTTATACACTGATTATTTATCAAATTAGTTATACTAATTCCGGAAGAATCTTGTGGTCACAGTACGAATCCACGAACGCAAAGACTTTAACGTGCTTGAAATAAAGTTCATTTTTCTTTATTTTTATTGAATGACAGATTAGTAATAATACAAATAAAACTGCACTCTTAAAAGTCTTATTGCCTTAAGTTACGGTCCATTTCAGTTTGTTTTGACTGTACAGATTTAGTGTGACTGTAATTTACGTAGTTTTAATTATTTTTGGGATAAAAAATTACCCTATATTAAAAATGATAGGAATCGATTCAGTAAACGATTCTGAACAAACTACTTTCTCAAAGTGTTTGCAAAGCATTTTTGTTGATTCAGGACTGCTATATAAAGCAATCTCGCTTCAACATTCCCAAAAAAGTCTAACTCAAACATTCACGTGTTTTTATTTTTAATACCTACCTAACTAAACAACTATAAAGGCCGTAATACACTAAATGCTGTGAAGTGTTTTG